TGAATGTTGGCGATGGTTTTTTAATAAACTCTTTTGCCTGTCTCATACCTGGCGAGTTGTTCCACCATTCCTGAGATTTGATGGTTCGCATCCATGATTTGATACTAGTCTTCTGTATAGCTTTCGCAATACCACAGAAGGGTTCTGGGCCATTCAGAGCTTTGTTTGCTCCTGCTCGGGCAAGTGAGTCTGTCTCTTCATTGCCCTCGTACCCTGTATGTGCTGGTACCCATGCTAGAGTCAGTCTGTTCTGACTGCCCAGTTCATTTTCTAATGATTCCAAATGATTGAGTTTTATTCCTTTATATTCTACGAATCTACGTGTAGAATTTCGAAATTGTCATCAAAACTATTGCTTTCTTCTAATATATGTTTGGCGTATGTTGAATTTGTTCCCTTTTTAAAATAATCCTCTCATGTTCATGTATGCGCTGATTAAACGTACCACCTGTCTGACCGATATATACCTTTGGTCAAGATCCACAGTTGAGTTTGAATTTTTTTTGAATATATATTAAAAGAAAACCATAGTTTTGATGACAATTTAGAAAATCTTCACGTAGAAAATAAAGGAACAAAACTCAATCATTGTGAATCATTAGAAATCAACAAACTCAAAAATTATTAAATACTAAATGATACATAAAGTCATCTCCACGACATTTAATGTGATTAACACATCAAAAATTGTTTCGGACATATATGTGTCCATCATCAGCCATATGCCATATATTGAAATTACATAATTGTACTAAAATTGAATTCTTTACCGATCAATTATACCTCAATAGTCCACCACTGTTGAATTTGTTTTCTTAGTAGGCGATAATATGTATTTGCTATCAACTCTTCGAAGTTAATCCGTTACACCGTTTATTATATAGATATTGTGACGGTAGGGTATATGTACAGTGTGTCCATTTAGTGCGTAATTCTTCGATATCTCGGAATCCATTATCACTAGAGAAAAACTTTTGAAAACATATTTCTTCCGTTATTGAAGATTCCAGTTTCAAAAATATTTTCAACAATACTGGGTGTCCTATAAAAGCGGGACGACTCGGAGAGGAGTTTTTTCAGCTCTACATCGCTGTAAAAAAATAATTTGGTTGCGGCGTTGCCAAGTTATAATTGATAAACCCATTTTTACCACTATTGAAGGGTCAGGTTGAATTGGGTATGGTTTATTCGTTTATTCAAATTTTGAAAGTCTTTTTGGCATACAGTAGAAGCAAGAGCTCACGTACACCAATCCAGTAATTTTGCGAGATGATCCTTTACAGGGTGCTGAAATTTACATTTTGAATATTGTAAGATTCAGACGACGTTCAGTAGAATATTTCGAATGAAACACCCTGTATTTTTCATCACAGATTCATTTCGACATCATTCGCCTTTTCATCGCTGAAAAAAAAATCAAAACCGGTTGCGGCGTTTTCAAGTTATGAGTAATTTCCTTATGTTTATCACTATCTCAGGGCTACCGTAAAAGGTGGTGACATGAAATCAAGTGGGTCACATAAAATCTTCTACATGATCTCATTGATACATCCACTGACTTACCTAAAATTACTGTGTTCCAACCGTTGATATTCAATCCTTCTTGTGAAGAAAAAATTGTTATTATTGGTGTAAAATACTGGGAAAAAAAGGGCTGGATACTTCCAGGTGAGCAGACAAACCCAAGCAATATCATAATGAGTGATATTTTTTTTTCACTCTCTATACTGTTGGTTAAAGATTCTAACCTTCAAAATATTTTAATATCATAACACGAAAAACACAGGACCAGCTTTATTTATTTTGGTCATTTTAGGGGTCACTTGAAACAAAATGGTAAAGAATTATACATAAATTATGATGAAGATCAATTGCAACGATGAACGAATGAGAGAAGGAACAAGCTACAAATATCTTGAAAAAGAGTACGGTATTCCTGTCGCTACAATTTGTCGGAAGGTGAAAAATTTACATACCAAGACACCTGGTGGGCAAACTCATTTGTCCAAAGAGGATGAGAGTGCCATAGAGGAAGCTATACTCATTGCTGCAGAGTGGGGTAAGGCATTTGAACCCGAAGATGTCAAGAGTTTTATTCAATCTTATCTAAATAGAATGGGTCGACGCATACCAATTTTCACAGAAAATAAACCAGGGGAGCAGTGGTATAAATATATTTTGAAACGACATCCACGATTATCTACCAGATTTTCACAGTGTATCAAAGCCAGTCGTGCAGAAATAAGTCCCGATATAATCAATAAATATTTCAATAAACTGGAAGTTATTTTGAATGACATTTGACCGGAGGGAAACGTAAATTACGATGAGACGAATTTCTGCGATGATCCTGGCAGGATAGTAAGATCATCGTGCGACGTGGATCCAGGAGGGCAGAAAAAATAATGGACACCTCTTAATCAGCAACATCCGCGATGTTCGCCGTTTCTGCCTCAGGAGTGATGTTACCCCCGTATATTGTGTACAAAGCGGATCATATTTGACAAACGTGGACAGAGCGTGGACCAGATGGAGCCAGATATAACAGGAGCAAGTCAGCAGGATGGTTTGATCAAAATTTATTTGAAGACTTGTTCTTGACAATTGCTATGGATTATTTCAAAAAGTTGCCATCAGGACCAAAAGTTTTAAAAGGCGATAATCTAGCCAGCCATTTGTTCCTGAAAGTTATCACTGAATGCCAAGCAAATGACATTAAATTCATCCTATCACCACCGAATTCCATTCATCTATGCCAACCTTTAGATGTGAGTTGTTTTAAGCCAGGATTCAGGACAACTGGCTTAGTGCCACTGGATAGAACAAAAATTCTGGACAAATTACCAAAATGTATCGAACCTGAACATGCAAATTTGAATGCGGTGAATGTTCTTAAGGACATTCTTACTGAAACACGATATAAGAAAGCTGATACAATTGTTAGAAGGAAGAAGATAAATGTTGAACCTGGCCAAAGTGTTACTGCCTCCGATATTATGCCATCTACATCCAAAGAAAAAGAAAACACTAACGGACCCAGAAGGAAGAGGAAACTCGCGAAGGAAAACATTCCAGAAAATGAAATATCTGATGATGATGCAGTAATGGCTATTGCTAAGGAAACAGTGGAGAGAAGAGCATTGAAACAAATAAAAAATGATAAGGGAATCAATTCAGAAAATGAAGATATCGAAAGTTATTCAGATATTGAATTGATTGAAGAGGAGATTCGAGAGGCAGAAGAAGCATCTGAAGATAATGATGACATTGAAGAAATGGTCGTTAAGGAGATCGCGAAAGGTGACTTCGTTATAGTAGAGTTGAAAACAGCACAGGAAATCGCGAGAAAATTTGTTGTGGAAGTTTTGGAAGACGACACATTTGAGTGTTCCTTCCTTAGGCCCAGTACTGAGATTCAGGATGTTTATTTTCTTCCCTAAGTACCAGACGAATCATTAGTCAGCAAAAATGAGAATGAAAAAGTTCTCTCAACTCCTGAAATGATGAGGAGAGGTGGTTTTCTGTTCAAAAATATCTCGCATTAAGTATTAACTAATTTTGTTTTGTATTTGTTTGTTCTGTTTTGTTTGTTTTAGGAAGAACATACGTTTATTTGATCTCATATTCCTATTTCTTTCATTAAAAAAATGTTTTCCTGTGTTGGTTATATTTTTTTAAACATAGTGTGCATTTCAAGACACCTACACAATAGTAAAACATGAAATATCTTTGGAAAATAAGGCGAATTTCGAGCATATTTCAAGCCACCACCTTTTACGGTACTTAGATGGCATCGTTCCTTTGCTTGATTTGAGTGTGGAAATATTGCTTGCCACATGACATTCGAGGTTCTACATAGATTATTCAGGTATTTTTGCGATTTATGTGCATTGTCCATATTTGAAATATTTCGTAATCTTGTTACTTATGATTCAAATAATATGTACCTATGTGAAATAAACGAACATGCCAAAAGCGACGTCTGCCTTTGAAACACTATTCTGAAGCCCTTCAGAACAGTGGTCTAAAGGCCTGCCTAAACAGTTGAACCTAATTCAAAATGTTTCTTTTTCAATTACATTCTTTAGTTTGGAGCATCAACCCATTGATTATCATCAAGTTTTCCAAAAAATTAACTGGAGTACGAAATTTCCACAATACAAATAAATTAAAGAACTATGACGTACTAAAAACCCCCAAATAGTAGTAACCATGAGGAAATTATTCATAACTAGACAACTCCGCAACCAATTTCGATTTTTTTTCAGCGATAAAAAGGCGGAAGATGTCGGAATAAATTTGTGAATGGAAGTACTGGGTGTTTCATTAAGAAGATTCTAATAAACGTCATCTGAATCTTGCAAAATTGTGAATTCAAAATTGAGCACATTGTTAAAGAACATGTCGCAAAATAACTGATGGATTCGTATACATGAGACCTTGCTACTACCGTATGCCAAAAATATTTTCAAAATTTGAATAAATGAATATACCATGCCAAATACAACATGCATGACTCTTCAATAGTAGTAAGAATAGATTTATCAATTATAACTTGGCAACGCCGCAATCGATTTCAATTTTTTTCACAGCGATGTGAAGGTAAACCTCAGCGGAATGAATTCCTAATAAAGAATAGTGGGTGTTCCATTTAAAAGAAATTCGTCGTCGAGTCGTCCCGCTTTTATAAAACACCCAGTAATGTTGAAAATATTACTGAAATGAGCAACTTTAGTAACTGGAAAAGTTTTTGTTTCAAAGTTTTTCTCTATAGGTTATGGTTTTCGAGATATCGAAGGATTATGCACTAAATGGACACACACTGTATAAATAGGTTTAGGCAAGCCAAGGTTAGTTTATTCCATTGTACCAGTATTTTACCTGACCAAGCTACTGTGTTAGCGTGTGACTGAATTTTTGTAGAAATCTCATCTTTTGTGAAGTTTTCACATTTGCTATGGATTTCCATCAAAAAACGACTGAGTCAATAAAAAAAAAGATAAGTATGAAATATCATATATTAGATTATCAGAAGAAATTGCACAAATACAAATAAAATTTTTCGAACAATTCAATAAGATATGATTACTCATTCTGTATAGCACCGTGATATTTTCAAACTGACTACTATTATTTTCGATTTGAAAAAGTTAATGGGTACAAAATAATGTATCAGTATTTCAGTGTTTTCCTCCAACATCATAGCAGTGACAGTTTTCCAGATGTGGTCCCTCACAGTAACCACCAAAATGTCCAATACTCCGGCAATGAGCACTGCATGGTACTACGTTGCAGCCAGATCCTGAAATAGATGAAAATGATCCGTTTATGGCGAGTTCACATGCCAGCTTATGCCTACAGCAGAAAGCTTGAATAAAACGGGCGCCTCGACGGGCGCACTGTTCACATGAAAAAGTTGGAAAAGTGACAGTGACTGCCACATATTTGGTTAAATTTGAGATGTACGTCCTCCAGAAATAACATATATCACATTTTTAGGAGTGTTTTTCCACTACTGCTTCCCACACTGCATAATCTGATGATATAGCACCAATATGTATTCATGCATTTTGTCAATATTTGTGTGGTTCTGTCAAACGATCTGAGCTTTTTTCCGCAAAAGTCGGACTGAAACCGACTTTCTAGCTTATGACCTTGATAAGCGCTTTCTGATGAATCGGCCAATGAGATGAGGGTACGCTGTAAGTCAAAAGGCGAAAAGCCAGCATGTGAACGCGCCATTTAGGAAACGCGGCATTTTGTGTGACGATGGGATTTTGCGGGACGAGCGAAACGCGGGATCCCGCAAAACACAGAGTTAGGCAACAAACTTTTCTTACCAATCTCATGTAAGTGAGTATTTTGTCACCTGTTTCTTCCACAAGTGTTTTGTTTATTTCTTTTTTTATAGATGTCCTGATTCTGATTAGGGAAATTAACATTTCCGAAAGCTCGGCTATGTAACGAAGAGTTCTCATTTATAAGGTCGAAATTTTGACTGCATCCCCAACAGGAAGAAATATTGTGATATTTTTTCTGCGTTCTGATATTTCATATATGTATAAATATATGAGTCTTTATTGGCTCTTCATCAGGAACTCTATAAAACATTTAAATTGCTATAGAATTCAATCGTTATTATCGATTACTAAAACACTTACGGGAAATGAGGTTTCGTTGAAGTGTAAGTGTTTGAGTAATCGATAATTACCATATAATTTCATATCAATTTTGATATTTTATAGAGGTCCTGATGAAGAACCAATAAGGACTCGAAAGCTTGAACAGAAACAAGAGTACACTTTGTTTTTCTTTGACTGCATACCCATAGGGAATCTCACAGTTTGATCCTTAACTCATACTCTTCTCCATATATGTACAGTGTGTCCCAGCTGAAACTTGTCACCCCCCTAATCTCCGATGTCGTTGAAAGAATTGAACATTGCTCGCACAGGTCGATTTTAATTTGGCGGGGGACCAATTTTTCTGCAATTATCATATTCCAAAGTTGAAATCTCGAAGCGTAAAACTGGCATCAACACTCGATTTTCAAAAGCAGCACCCTGTATTCCATTGCATTTTCAGATTCTCCCTCCCTAACAACTCGGGATCTTGCTGGTACATCCCGCTAAGGTCCTACAAATGTCCCAATGTTTCAGACTTAGGTACGATATCCCAGAGATGTTTCTCTTGGGACATCCATCAGATGTTTTCATTGGATGTTCTAGAAACATCCCATTTAATCTTTTTTTATAAACAATATCATGGTTCCATATTCGCTAATGATGATGACATGATTGAGTTCAAACAATTGTGACATTTGAAACATTGAAGAGTTGGTGAAAAATGGAAATCAAAACTGTATTCGTACTCATATACTTATACCTATACCAAAGCCGGCTAATTTCATCGATAACAAATTGAAATAATTATACTAAATATTCCTCAATAGGATTACCAAAGTACCCGTTTAACATCATGAACCATGTAATAAACGACAAAATTGAAATATATTTCTGCAGCATATTTATTGCTGAATTTATTTGTTATACCAGCCGATAGATGGCGGTACAACTACGTTGCTTAGAGTTACTAACAGCTGTCGGCCCAGCGCCAACAAATATGAGCCTCAAACAACTGTTATCATCTTCTATTAGTTATTGGACCGCACCGACCTTTTATTTTCGGATTTGGATTGTTACTTTATATCTGTATCTACGAGAAGATTACAATGGTTATGTAACATACAGTGTGTCCCACTTTTACCATGCTCACTATGGGTATCTTTTTAACGGTGAGAGATGCGAGGTCGGTTGAATGACACCAAATGTGGAGTTTGTCAAGGCCAACTATAATGTGAAAAAATATTTCGATAAAATCTATTCGTTTTTGTTTTATACGCAAAAAACAGATTTTGACGATTTTCATGTCTCCTCCGTAACTTCTTTATTCATGAAAATATTCAAATAGGAATTTCACATTCTAATGGCAGTTTTTCAAAGTCATTTCGAAAAAAATATGAAATTTATACCAATTCTTCTAGAATTTGAGATATCAGCACCAACTTTAGTTTTTCAAATGTAGGTCATAGCTCACCATGACTTAGTTACAAATAACTTTTTTTTCTCTCACAGATGATATGTCGTTGTGATATTTTGTGTTGATAACAACAGAGTTATCGTCATTTATACAAAAACCAAAAATTTTTTGGAAGCCGCCATCTTGAATTTATGAATTTTAACAAAAAAATCATGATCTCCGACCTCGAAAACCCCCACTCACCCATTTTGAATGGAATCGGAACAAATCTTGTCCGCCATCTTGGAGCAGCCATTTTTTTAAATTGATGGTGGACAAGATTTGGTCCGATTTCATTCAAAATTGGTGAGTAATGGGTTTTTAAGGTCGGAGATCATGATTTTCTTGTTGAAATTCATAAATTCAAGATGGCGGCTTCCAAATAATTTTTTATTTTTGTATAAATGACGATAACTCCGTTGTTATCAACACAAAACTATTACTGCGACATATCATCTGTGAGAGAAAAAAAAAATTATTTGTAACTAAGTCATAGTGAGCTATGACCTACATTTGAAAAACTAAAGTTGGTGCTGATATCTCAAATTCTAAAAGAGTTGGTATGAATTTCATACATTTTTCGAAATCACTTCGAAAAACTGTCATGACAATGTGAAATTCCTATTTGAATATTTTCATTAATAAAGAAGTTACGGAGGAGACATGAAAATGATCAAAATCTGTTTTTTGCGTATAAAACAAAAACGAATGAATTTTATCAAAATATTTTTTTACGTTATAGTTGGCTTTGAAAAACTCCACATTTGGTGTCATTGAACCGACCTCGTATCTCTCACCGTTAAAAAGATACCCATGGTGAGCATGGTAAGTGGGACACACTGTATACTATAGACACATTTTTGTTTTGAGCCTTTGTTAATACAAATTTATGGAAATAATATCATGTGAACATAAAATGTGAAACATTGAAACTATTATACATCTAGTTATTATGCCTTATACCTAATAGAATACAATTGTTTGGAATAATAATTTGAAACGTGCTCACTTCGAAGAAAGATGAAGTGTATTATTCATTGTAAGAAAAAATGTTTTAGAGTATGTTTAATTTTTTGTGGGATGAAGAAAAAATATCAATTTGATCATTGTAAATATTTGAATTTCGAGCAATTCTACATAATGGAAAATTCTGCGACGAGTTTGTTCGCCTAAAAGGTATGTGGAATAAATTGTTCGTTCTTAGATGCCGACTGGGAACATTCATTAGAATTTGATTCAATAGATTGAGGTTGTCTATGATGCTGTGGGTGATTTTATGTAAGAATAATATATCCATGATCTCTCTTCTGTTTGACAGGGGTATCAGTTTGAAATGGTTTCTGGCGTTATTTATATCGCCGTTGTAATTGTAATTATCTTTGAAGCTAATATATCTAATGAACTTGTTCTGAATGTTTTCCAGGCGGTTTATGTATGTTTCATATTGTGGGCACCAAACTACACAGGCAAAATTTAGTTTACTGAATACAAATGCGTAATATACACATATTAAGGCTTTGGTGTTTGAAAAATATTTCTTAATACGTGAGTCTGAATTTGCAATTGATTCCACATGTAAATCAAAAATCAGTTTGGAGTCATATACAGTGTGACCCACTTCTAATGGAACCACCCCTGTATCTTACGTAATCGTTGGGTAAGGATCCTGAAATTTGCTGGAGCGAGAGACATACCAAAAATGCACTCTATGACCAAGTGGGGTCATCTTCAGTGATATACACTGCTCGCCAACAGCCATGAAACTACCCCAATCAATTTCCGGAAAATGATATTAGGAGTCAAAATAGGTCGAAAATCACTTCAGATTTGGAATCAGGACGCCCAATTCACTAACTATTCAAATTTTTTCTGGAAAATTTTCAGTTCGGAAAAATGAAATTTTGTCGCATAATAATGAAGAAAAAAAAACTGTTGTTTCGAGAATTCAACGGGCTTTCAAACGATGTGCCACTCGACTCCTATTCCCTATTCAAATTTCAAGGGTTGTTCACCCCCCTGCTCGAGGATTGACATGACGATACTGCATTTAAGAGGGCACAATGTCCCCCTCGAAACTAAAACCGACCTGTCCGAGCGTTTTTCCAGATCTACGATATTATCAGTACCCAAAACCCTCATGTCATGTTTTCGATGGGCCATCCGTTAAATAGATGCGGTCAGGGCATCAATGGATTCGTAGCCTATTGATTGTTGATTTCCTCTCAATTGAAGTGGCTCAAAATCACTATTTCGGTCAAAATATCATTCTGTCATTAAAACGTCATGAAAAAATTCCGATTTCATACGCTGGTGGGGACCACGAGAAAAAAATTCCCCCAAAATACATACGTGAAAAAAAAATCACTGGTGTGGAATTTTCAACTCACTACACCTGACGGAAACCAAACTACCAACACCCCAATTAGCTTATTAGTATAGGTACCATCTGAAACGATAATTCGAAACTTAGTACTCTGATGATGATTATTCTTACCTGCAATAGCACTAGCAACAAGTAAAATTGCTACCAAAAAGAAAAAAATTATCTTCATGTTGGATTTGGTATTCCTGTACTATAATATTGTGTATATGTTGATAACAATGATAACACCACTCACTTGTTTGTGACTTTCTCAATCGCTTTATATAGCTGATTTGCCAAATATGATAAAAGAAAAATACCCGAGTTCCGAGTACAAAATGATCCGAGAATTCATCCAAAGCAGTGGTGTGGAAGAACTACATCTTATTGAAAAGGAATATTCTCAGATATATTTATGAACATAAAAAAATGAATATATATCGGCGTCATTCTGAATATTCAACAAGAAACAACTACTTTCCTGGTTATTTGCCACGTCAAACATTGAATTATATCTGTTGAACATCCAAAGAGAGAACATGAAGAAGGAAAATCCTCTGAAATTGAGAATTGACATTACTATCTCTCAAATGGGATGAAATAATATGATGTATTATGATATGAAAATATAACTAACCAATATGTTCAGTACTGAGATGATATTATATGTGCATATCTTTATAAAAAGGAGAATGCAAATTCTCTACTACAGGAGATTTCGCTTTCAAATTATTATAGTATGTTTTCAATAAATATATAATTGAATGTTCGACGTGGCAAATCCAGGTCATTCCAAATAATTGAACGATTAAATCAATTCACCTCGAATGAATCAAAGGTGTCGACAAAAAATTTAACAGTTTGCAAGACACGAAATTGATTATTGAACGCAGGAGTTTCACGACCTGTTACCAATTTAAGTAATTTGGAGTAATTTGAGCAAACACAGCAAATCGTTCGCAAATGAATACGGACCACACGGTGGTAGAGGGGGAGTCGAACTTCAGTCTATGGACAATCAATCAATGATTATGTTGCCGGGGTAGCAAGTGGGTGAGACCAATTCCCACCCCCCTCTCACAAAACTCCCATAGGGAATGACTGCCGGTCACCTATCTTTCAACTTATACCGACAGCACCCCAGGAAGAAATGGAGGATTTGACTACGCGAGTCAGCGAGCTGGAGCCATCTCCGTTATATAACGGCATGTTCTCCTGCTACCATTTTATTATACCAATGGTGAGGCCGTCTGATAAAACAGACTACTGGCTCTGCAGTGTCAGTGCCCGAGCAGAAACGCTGCTCACCCGCCGAGGCAGGCAAGATATCCTCCCACTTGACCCATAGTGGGATTCTTCTTCACCTCCTCTACCGTATTCCGGTGGTGTTTTTTTGGGTACCACTGCCCCCTGGAGTCCAACCCAATTGGTGTGGCATCAGGCCGTATGTACGACCTGATGGGGCTATCCTCATCACCCCAGGTATCCATGTCAACAAGATTCCTCTTGTTACGTTTGATGGGCCGCCGTCGCAAAAGGCTTTCGCCTCATTGCTACTCATGTTGACAAGAATCCTCTCGTCCCGTTGAATGAGTGATCGTTCGAGGACTTTTACACGCCTCTACCTCGTTTACAGGAGAAGACCCTCCTCCTCCCTGTCGAACAAAGACACAAGGTACACCAAAGTTCCAGTTTTCGCTGAGCAAGCCCAGCTACCCATGTCAACCGGAATCCTCCAGTCCCGTTTGATGAGTGTCCGTTCGCGGCTTTTTACACGTACCGCTACCATGACAAGAGTCGGGACCTCAAGCTTTTAACCAGTAGTGTCTGGAGTCACCAGGGACTACCCCCACCCCGACGCCGTGAGTACATGGTGGGCCCACGGCCGTCAGCTTATGGACAGTCAACATTCAGTCAATACTGAAGTAATCTAGTCATCGGTAATTTACGACATACTTCTCAAGTTTCTTCTTCTCAAAGACTTTCAATTGAGATGACCCATACCGGGCACATCTTCCCCCCGGCGAGCTTGGTAACAGGTCTATTAGTAATGTAAGTACTTTTACTATTTGTCAGCTGGCCTCAAAGTTGGGAAAATAGGGATCAGTATTCACTTTTAACGCTGGTAATCTCATGTTGGGCCATTCAGGCAGTTTTCAGTAAACTCCAGGGATGAGGTTAGGTGATGCACTAATGAAGGGGCGTGTCCGATACCCAGGTAGGATTTGATAGTCATCATTCCTTTTCAAAAACCATGTTCCGATACCTGCCAGGTAAATCAGAAAAGAACGAGGGAGAAATGTTGACAATATAAATATGAACTTGGCAACAATTCTCGAATGGGGATCCAAATAACTTGGTAGATTTCAATGCGAACAAAACACAAGCTTGCCATTTCTCTAGAAAAGCCGATCTCACTATGCCCAACATAAGCTTGTAAAGTGAACCAAAAAATACCGAATCCAAAAGACAGAATTCCTTACTTCGTGAAAGATTCGAATGCATTACATTCGTGCATAAAAATGATCAGACAATTTTGCTTTCAAGCGTGTTATACAGGGTGTTTCACAGGTAAAGGGAAATATTTCAATGGTAGATAGGGGTCACCAAGGTGGTTCTGAAAATACCATATTTGATAGGTCTCAGAGTTTTCATAACGGAGATACAGGGCGATTTATCGATTTCGAATAATTATTCATTCGTCTATAAGTATCGAACTACCCAGTATATTTTTCTAAAATTTGGTATGGAGCTCAAACTTGGGACGTTGAATTCATTCACCTATCGAACGAAGAGAAAATCCAGGTTCGGCTTCAGGAAAAATTTACATTTATTCGAAATATTAAAATAACACACTGTATGTAATAATTGACAGAGTTCATCAAAGGAATCGTGAAGAGGAGGAAAAACTGAACTGGATTTGATTATTTTTGTTTTCCCGCCATCATCAATTCTGGATGGACTATCAACGTTGATGTTTTCAACGAAGTAACCATGGATAGCGAAGCAAAGTCTGGATATAACCATGGATAGCGAAGCAAAGTCTAAAGTTTGGCATAAAATAATCATGGATGTACTTGTCACAATGAATCACTCATTTTTTCAATCCTTATTGTTTCTACACTCACCTATTAAATGACTGTTCTCAGCAGAGCTCTTCTTTGGGCATCATTTTCCTTGGATATTTAGTCTTTTTTATTCATTATCAATTGTTCCGTTCGTTCTTTTCGTTTTTAATTGATATTGAAGAAAATGGAAAACGTGTTCAATATTTAAATGAACGGAAAAAGACAATAACGTCTCGAATGATATAAATAGTAGATTGTTCTATTAGGATCAGAAGTTGCACTTTGTTTGACAAGCGACGAGGCGGAGCATTCATATAGCTAAGCCGAGCGAAAGCAAAATTCGCGAGTCAAACAAAGTCACTTTTGATCCATATGAAACATGCTATTTTTTCTGCAATCAAATAAAAATAGGTAGGTTGCCTAGCAACATACCTATTTTGGTGTCAGGAGTAAGAACGTTAATTCAAGAGCTAATTTTGCCGAAAATATTCGGTGATTGTTACGGCAGCTTGTTGCCTAGTAATTTCGTGAATGACATTGTTATCAATGTCATGAACGTAATTAGAGCAGCAAGCTGGAGTATGTCAATCGACGAATGTTTCCAGGAAAAATAGTATCACGAGTTGTATTCGTATGACTATTTCATGATTGAATGAGACAATATACAAGAAATAGGAAACCTAATTTAAATATATTCCGACCAGGCCAGGTAGCCGTGCGGACAGAGTGTCTATATTCTAATTCGCATTCGCTTGCCGGTCGTGGGTTCGATCCCCGTCGACTGCAGAAATTTTTCTGATGGCCCAAGAAAGTGTTTGGGATCACACGTTAAAAGGTAAGGCCCCCGTCATTCCTTGCTCGCACAAGACTTTCGAAGACTTTTGAGGGTTGCTCGTAAGGGGGCAACCGAATGACGGATAGAACAAATTTTAGAACAAAACAAACTAAAACTGCGAAGAAGAACATAATGATAGTAATGAAATACAGAATTCAATTTTTCAGAAATTAACTACCTACTTATGGTTATTCACAAAGTGGAATGTACAATTTTGATAAACAGTATTTTTTTTATTATCATGGAGAGTGTATACAATTGCTATCCAATTCAAACAAAATAAATTGAATTTATGTGACATGAAATAATTTTAAAAAAACATATCGTCGTAATTATAGTAGTCACAATAAGGAATTCGAATTGTTGTGTCAGACCGTCAACAAATATGCAAACTTTTTTATTTACACATGAAACGTCCAGCCAGAATAAAATTGTCTCGCCTTTCGTACAAAATGTCTCACTAACGCGAATTATAAGTAAATGAAATAAAGTAGGTACTTAGGCTATTGTCTCAGATTTGAATCCGAAGCAATCTTGACCAGACACGATGTCAAAATTTTATCGCTGATAAACGAGGTTTGTTGGTCACGTGTGGGTCAATTCGGCTTCTGTATTGTTACAGCAAGTCGGATAGAATTTAATAAACAAAAAATATCGCTAGAATACAGAAGAAACCTTGGAAATGGTCGATTCTGATTGGTTTTCGAGATCAAGAGTAGAATAGTCACTGATAATCAAAAAACCCAAGAATTTCTCGTGCCCACCAAAAACCTAGGATTTAAGAATTTAAAAAAAAGTATTCAAACTGGTATGGAACTGTTTATGGAGCTTTTTTATGCAATATTTTTGAATAATTGTCTATTTTGATTCGTTTTGATTTGCCTTAATCCTGACTTTCTTAAGGCTGCGCTACTGGAAATGCTTATCTATAAACTTATTAATAACTAGTTTTATTTCTTTCGCAGTAATAAAGTGTTGTTTGAGGAACAATAACCTGAAATGTCGAAATTGTTTTCAAGGAAGCAGTAACAAGTCTAAATAACCGAATAAGTATACAGGGTGAGTCAATCTGAACGCATCGGGCTCAGAAATAATTCTATCCAGGCGCAAGTATCTCGATCTGGACTAGATTTGATGAGTACAGAATGTCTCAGAAAAGGGTGGCATACCTATCATGGTTGTATACTTTATGAATGGAATAACACTCTATATTTCATTGCAATTCTGAATTCTACGATAAAAAATGAAGTTACTTTGCTAATGTTTCTCTACACCTTATCATCAGTTTTTGAGATATTTCACTTTGTTGCAAATGTAAGGTAAAGTTATTAAGAATACTTCGAAC